CATGATAATATGTTTATGGTTTTGGTTAGGACTTTGTTTTTGGTTATGACTGTAGTTAGGTTTAGACTCTCTCTTTAGTCTCAGGTGAACAGAAAGGACTAACAGGGAACACAAAGACTGGGACTGGGATCCCCTCGGTGGACCACCAGAGTTTGAAACATCTGAAAACATCTGAAGGTTGACCCAGAGTGTTCATCATAGATCATCATGTATATTTGCCTCAGACTCTGCAGGGTATTAGTCCAGTTTGTGGCCTGTTGTTTCCTCCCTCCTGTTTTCTGACTCTGTCTGTTGTCCTTCTTTAAAAAAGAGAATGAAAAGCTCAAATATAAACTCTTTAAGACTTTGTTTTTGGTTATGACTGTGGTTAGGTTTAGACTCTCTCTTTAGTCTCAGGTGAACAGAAAGGACTAACAGGGAACACAGAGACTGGGACTGGGATCCCCTCAGTGGACCACCAGAGTTTGAAACATCTGAAAACATCTGAAGGTTGACCCAGAGTGTTCATCATAGATCAACGTGTATAGATGCCTCAGACTCTGCAGGGTATTAGTCCAGTTTGTGGCCTGTTGTTTCCTCCCTCCTGTTTTCTGACTCTGTCTGTTGACCTTCTTTAAAAAAAGAGAATGAAAAGCTCCAATATAAACTCTTTAAGAATTTATTGAACATGTGTTTTTCCGTTTACACCTCAAAGAGGCCTGCTGGTGTCAGAAATGAACCCTAAAGAAATAAATCATATTCCTCTGAGTTACACTAATATGGTTTCAGAGGATATTTGACTTTGTGTCCTTTCTGTAGAAGTCCCTGTTTCCTGCTTCTTATCAGGTTACACACACACACACACACACACACACACACACACACACACGCACACACACACACACACACACACACATAGTGACCAGCCTCTTTTTCCCCTGAAACCCTGCGATTTTCCCTGTTAACCATGACTCAGCGTTTTACAGTTGAATTTCCCAGCAGTTTAACATGTTTTGGTTTGTTCAGTCTTTCTGCCAGACTGTAGCACACAGCAGATCCCAGAGTGGTGTGACCTGATTTACCGCCTCTTTAGACTCATGTCATCCCATCATAAAAACAGATCGATTGTCATGTGACCTGGTTTATGTCATAAACAGATCAATGATCATGTGACCTGGTTTATATCATAAACAGACTAATGGTCATGTGATCTATCTTTCAGTATGTACAGTCATATTTCATCATATGTTTTCATATTTCCCAATCTTATGTAACAGTGAGTCAGCAGATCTGAACATGCTCAGTTTCACGTTTCTCAGCTCCTGTTTGTTGTTATTACAGCTGATGAAATCTGACCCTATCTGATGGAAACTCAGTGCTGGCTGCTGCTCCTCATTTATCTGTAAATTTACAGTAAACTCACAGAAACATGGTGATGGTAATCTGAGGAGTCTGTTCAGGATAATCTAATCAGTTCAGGGTTCAGGGTTGAAAAAAAGTATTTAATTCAGATGACAGTTAATTTTTATCCTGATAAATCTTCAGGTTATTTTAACCTTTTAGAGATGGACTGTAATACCTCTCACCTAAAGAATCAGGGTTATCCCAATCTCAGTAAAGAGCAGGGTTCAAACGTGATCACTTCTACATTACTGGAGCTAAATATTACATATTAACAAGTACTTATCAGTGACGTTGATATTTCAGGATATACCTCTCACTTGAACTGATGACCCATTGTATTGACTCAATAGAGGCAGGTGCCACACTGTGTTTACATTTACAGTCATTGGCCACTTTATTAGGTACACCTGTTCAATTGCTTGTTAAATCATAAATGTTCTTTCTTGAGCTGTGTCACCCCCGCTGTAGTCTGTAATAGACTGGCCTGAGGTCTCGCTACAAACAAGCAGCTACTGGAAGAGAGTGGGTGAGTTGTGTTTCGTCTCTTTGCTAGAGAAATCAGGCAAAGCTAAAAAGATGTTTGGTGGCCAGTACTATGGCTGAAACCCTATATGTACTGTTGATAAAGTTAGGTGCTGTTCTGAGCATTATTTGTGGCTATAGAGTGGCTTTTTGGTTAAGGTTTGTTTATGGCTCCTCAGACCACTGTGTATTGCTATCCTGCGGTTGTTACTAAAGTTGGTATAACTAGAGAAGCAAGCGGTCAGCAACATTCATCTCTCGAGGGTGTGTCTAACTCAGTGTTACAGTGTGTTTTATAATATACTATAACACAAATTTCTAAGTGGCCAACTCAATATATTGAAGCACGTAGGCGTGGTCATAATGACTTGATGAACTCCAAACGGTGCATTAGAATGCTATCTATCTATCTATCTATCTATCTATCTATCTATCTATCTATCTATCTATCTATCTATCTATCTATCTATCTATCTATCTATCTATCTGTCTGATAGTACTCTATCTCTGGGTCTGTGGGTCACTCTGGGCCAATCAGACAGTGCAGGTGAGATGGCATCATCCCTCAGATCAGCAGTGTGACCTCAGCCTGCATCATCATGAATTAATTATGAGGTGTGTAAGGGTGTCCAATCAGAAGAGAGCTGGGTTATCAGGTAATGAAGCCTGACGGCACACAGCCAATCAGATTGCAGCACAGAGAGGAGTGTGTGATTGGGGCTCAGAGCGAATCAATAATGTAGACAGAAATGCTTGCTCGCTCGGTGAGTGAGCTCTTACTACAGTTACTGTAAGTGATGGAGCTCAGAGAGAGAGAGAGAGAGAGCAGAGGGAAGTAGGCACGTGGAGAGAAGAAGGAAAGGAGGAGAGGATAGAGGGATGATCTCAGTGTTTATGATTCACCGTAATGAGTCATCCTCATCACAGCAACTTTAGACCCAAACCTGTAAACCAGAGAGACCAAGTTAGATTCAGATACAGCTAGAGTTCATCTTTCTGTCTCTCTCTCCTACACCTCAGTATCAGCTTATTGCACAGGCTCAGCTCCTACTTGTCTCTCTCACCTGTCTCGGAGCTGCACTAGGACTGCTACCAGCTCTGAGTGTATAAGACTATTAAAGGAGAGCTGAAGCAGGTCTACTCTAACACTGCTGCTACTGTCTGGACTATATCAGACCACCAGCAACCAGACTGATTATATCCCCCTTATGATTATATTATGATATTATATTGATCATAACGACTGCTGTGAGTCAGGAATCAAAGTAATTTAAATGCATGCTGTTAACAGACCTGTGACACGCTTCTTCACCCATGCTGTGTGACAGGGAGATACCGCAGTCAGACTGTTAAACCAGGCCTGCTCCTAGAAGTCCAGGTTTTTCTTAGCACAACTAACAAACAATAAATCAATGCTACCTCAACAGGCAGTATTGACAGGCCAGATATTTATTACAATTGCAAATACCCACATTTCTTTCAGTCTATTTCTTTCTTGTTCACAGTGCTTTCATTTTTTTGTCTTTTTTTTTGTATATTATATTTTTTTGTATAGACCTAAGTCAAGTATTTATAGTTGTCTGTGCACTGTGTGCTTATTCTTTTATGTTGATCCTTTGCTCCAGTTACATAGCAAATTTTCCCGCCATGTAATGAATAAAGGTTTATCTTATCTTGTCTTCTCTTATACCAGTGTGACTGTGTTAGCTACTGTATTAATCAGAGGCTCAGAAACTTAGTAGCAGTAGTAGCAAAACAGTGTGATAAAGTAACAGAGCATCAGCAGTATTCATGTCAGAGATAGCTGGGTCAGTTACAGACAGCTTTATGTCTATGAGCGTCTTCTCTTCAGAGAGATAAATGATTGATATCGTATTGTATCATATCGTATCGTATCATATCGTATCGTATCGTATCATTTCACATCATATCATATCATATCATATCATGTCATATCAAGTCATATCGTATCATATCATGTAATATCATACTGTATCATATCATAGCATATCATATCGTATCATATATCATACCGTATCACATCATATCATATCATATTGTGTCATATCGTATCATATCATATCATGTCATATCGTATCAAATTTATGGGGCGGCTGTGGCTCAGTGGTTTAGTTAGTATCCCAATCAGAAAGTTGGTGGTAGGATCCAAGGCTCTAACTTACTGTATTATCAGAGGTACTAACACTTAAGTGAGGCAGAATAACCAGCAACAGAATAATCTGCTGGTAGTAAGAGTGTGTTCAGTAGTAACTATTATCTCAGTTACAGTAAAAATAACTGTAAATCTGCCCTCAGTGGTTTAATGTGACCTCAGATTCACCTGAAACATGATGAAGCGGTTAAACCTCAGTCAGGTGTGATTCTGCTGAGTCACGGCGTATCTCTAAAATCTAATGTTTCAGATCAGCTGACACACCTGACAGGATTTCCACAGATCTTCCTCTCAGTGGAAATGTCACAAAGGGGAATTTCACAGCAGGCGGCAGAGTAGTGCAGAATAATGCAGAGTAATGCTGGGTGCTGCCACATACCACAGAGATTATGACAAAAACGCCAGCTCACACATCACATGAACTGAAACTTCCAGACACTCTGCAGGTTCCCCATGATCTGTAAGGCAGACGGGTCTGTTAACTGTGATACTGCTGCTCAACACCTGACTGTTAACACCTGTTAGTCTACACCTGTCTGTCTGAGCCTGTCAGGTGGTTCTAATTGGCTTTATTTTTAGGAGTTTGTTGTTTGTTTGACAAAGAGAAGAAAAACAAACACAAAGACTGTTTGTAAGGTTCAAGTAATACCTGTTATTACACAGGTTATGATGATATCTGTAATACACCAGTTATGATACTATCTGGAATTAAATAGGTTAAAGTAATATCTGTTGTTACACAAGTTATAAAAACATCTGTTATTACACAGGTTATGATAATATATGTGATGATACAGGTTATAATATATGTTATGCACAGGTTATAATAACATCTGTTATCACACGATTTTCATAATATCTTTTATTACGCAGGTTATAACAATACCTGTTATTATACAGGTTCAGTATAGCTGTTATAATCCAGGTTATGATAATATCTGTTAATACACAGGTTATAATATATCTGTTATTACATAGGTATAGTTTATCTTTTATGACACAGGTATAGTAAGATTTAATATCACACAGTTGAAGTAATATCTGTTATTACACATGTTAAGTATATCTGTTATAATCCAGGTTATATTTGTTATTACATAGGTTATAATAACGTCTGTTATTACATAGATATAGTATATCTGTTATAATCCAGGTTATAATAATAATTGTTATTACACAGGTTATAATAAAATCTGTTATTACATAGGTTGTAATAATATTAGTTATTACACAGGTTATAATAATATCTGTTATTACATAGGTATAGTTTATCTTTTATGACACAGGTATAGTAAGATTTAATATCACACAGTTGAAGTAATATCTGTTATTACACAGGTTTAGTTTATCTGTTTTAATCCAGGTTATAATACTATTTGTTATTACACAGGTTTTAATAATATCTGTTATTACATAGGCTGTAATAATATTAGTTATTACATAGGTATAGTTAATCCGTTATGACACAGGTATCGTAATATTCATTATCATACAGTATAAGTAATATCTGTTATTACACATGGATATGGCTTAGTGCAGAGCGTTTTTTTTTTTTTCCTGATTGTATAGCAAGCTTTGACTCTATAAACCTGATTTGGACCTGAACTAAAAGGCACATGGCTGTTTTGACGGAAATATCCAGACAAGTATGTAGAAGGGAATTTGTTTGGTGGTCTTACTGGAAGTTTTCAATCCCTGACTGGTCTAAACAGCCTGTTTCCCACACAGATTTCAGACCCAACCCAGTCTGTTCTGGTAAAGAACCAAATCTTCCAGGAACAGGTTTTTATGACAGTATTTTGTACAGTAGAAAGAATATTTGTTGCCTTCAGCACTCCCTCAGATCAATATGTCACTGAGAGGCTAAGAATTGCTGATAAAAAGGGGAAAAGGCGGGAATCTTTTTAAACAGCAGGGTGATCATTTCAGACGTCCAACAATACGCTTGAGTTTATTCCCAAAAGATTAAAAAGTGGAAAAAAAAGACTGTTTTTGCTAAAGCTGAAGTAAAAAACCAACAGTGATTGTGTTTTATGTACTTTACAAATTTTGGAGCTACAAATAAAATCCTTTTATTTTAAAATTGGAAGATGGGAAACAAAACAAAGCAACACTTTTATAGGAATATTTTCAGATGCTCAGAACTGCACGAAAAAAACAGAAATCCAAGGGACTTGAATCAAGTGATAATATAAAGACATAAAAAAAATCTCTGCTGGCGTCCAGAGTCACAGAAATATCAAAGAAAACACCAAAAACAATGAGTTCAGATGTTAGCCATATTTACAGCTCAGTGTTAAGGACTGCTTCCTTCAGAGCAGAATAAACACAGGTCAGAAACTAATTTAGTCTGAGCCTGTTTATGAAGAGCTGACGTGACTCTCCAGCTACACATCAACAGAAACTGAGCCATCAAAACGGTTACTCAGCACATAAAGACCCTTTTAGTGCAACAACGCCTCTATTCTGCCCCTCTGCGTGATTCAGCCTGTTTACAGGATCCAGATCTGATTTTAGCCCAGAGATTATTTCACCAACACATCAGGCTCAGAGACTCACTTCTTACTCAGGATCACATGGTCAGTGTTATCAGTGTCATGATCTGAGGGTCAAAAAATCAAAGCGTCATCAGATGGCTGCAGCTGACCCACAAACACTGAGCAAAAGGACTTCAGATACAGTCAGGACCTTATCATGTACACTTGGAATGGGCTACTGTTAGAGCTCCATTAGACTACTGACCAAATAACCACCTGATCCAGATCAGGGTTTAAACTTACTGACCTACAGACCACATCAGGACTCAAATTCACTGACCCACAAACCACACAAGACTTAAATTCACTGACCCACAGACTACATCAGTTTGTGTTGTTTTCCATGCGACAGTTAACCATCTGCTGGACTCTGGGAGCACTGGGGCTGTTATTGTTCATGAAAACTGATGTAAAATCAGCTGGCATACAGACTTTAACAGAAACCAGCATCAGTTTTTATGGAACTGATGGTGTTCACATCGGCACAGCATGATCGCCTTGACCAGCAGGCTGAAGCAACCTCAATGAATGGTTCTGGTACTGCTCAGTTCACCCCATTGTTAGCAATAGCCACATGAAAACATCTCTGGAAGCGACTGTACAGACATTCAACCAATTAGATTAATGCAGTATCTGTTGTAGCCATAGCAACCATAACATTAACCATAAAAGGGCTCGAAGAAATCAGCCCTCCTCCCTGTCAGGTAAAGCCAGGTGATGTCAGTGAAGACGATGACGTCATCTTTGAGTCACTCATACCAGGAAAGAAGTAAATGTCATCATGTGTCCTTTTACACACACGTGTCCTCTACATGCCTGAAATATCATTACTCATTAAAGTTAGATGTTATAGAAGCTGTTTCCTCCTCTGAGCTAATGTTTGACCGGACCGACGGCTTCTTCATGATTTCTTCACTTCTGTGTTTTATCTTGAACATGTATTCCTCTTTAAAATAACACCAGGATCAAGATTAATCACAGTCAGAGAGAAAATCTGAGCATATTTAAGCAGCAAGATTTTCTTTAGGTGGGGAAAATGAAGAGAATTTAAAAAATAAAGTTCATTAATGTGACATACATCAATCGTTATTACAGTTCAACAGTTTCAGAATAATGTTCCTGAGTGTCAAATGTGAGTGAATGAGTGGATTTCATCATCTACATAATATCATTAAGAGAAATCTCTGTACAAAAGGGACAAGGACCAAAACCAAGACTGGACGGTCCTGATCTTCAGGCGCTCAGGAAACACTAAATTAAAAACAGACAAGACTTTGGAGTGGAAATCACTGCATGAGCTCAAAATCACTTCAAAAACCACTGTCTGTGAACACCATTCATCACTGCATCTGCAAATGAGGTTAAAACCAAACCATGAAAAGAGGAAACCAGATAAAGACAGGATCCAGAAACACCAGAGACTTCTCTGGACCTGAACCCATTGAAGGTAGACTGAAGGGAAGAGGAAAACTGTCCTGTGGACTGATGGATCAAAGTCTGACATAATGTTTACAAATCATAGACGCTGCATCCTTCTCTCGACAGAACAGAGGGACCACCCGGCTTGTTCTCTAAATCCAGCATCTCTGATGGTATGGGGATCATCAACCTCCTTCCTTTTTGTAAAATAAAATAAATCAAATCAAATGAAATCTGCTGTTTCTATCATAAAAACACAAACATTTATTGCCCCTCAGCCAAGATTTATATTTATCCTACACTTTGTCTAGTCTGAACAGCACAGCTACAGAGGTTTCCATAAACAGGTTTGTTTTTTTATTTTATTATCTACAAAGAATCATCTCTGTGATCTCTGGAAAACATGACGTCTCTTTGTTTGTCAGTTTTATCAGTTATGAAGATCATCCTCTGCTGACTAATGAATCACTTATTCCTTTCCAGGTGAGAGAATTCTCCAACCTGCTGGACTTGGTCAACAGAAAAACTGAAGACTCCTGCCCCCTGTTGACACTGAGGGTTATGACAACCAGTGGAATAAAGGTTTTCGATATCAAAGTTAACCCTTTCTTTAAAGTTAAAACAGAGTGAGTGTGTTTGAAGGAAACAGAAGTCCAGACATGTCTATGAAATCAGTTTATTGTCTCTTCAGTAAAATGCTACAAAAGTACATTTCAGCTGTCAGAAGGATATTCGGCTTTAAAACTCTGGATATATACACAGGTTTACATTCTCACCTGACTGACTGTCTGTCTTTGATGGTGCAGGTATAAGCTCACCTGCTCTGTCTGAACCCTGTGAGGACAGGAGGGAGTTAAAGCTGCTTTCTGATGAACCTTAGGGACAACCAAAGCTGGATGGATATTTCATTATCTGTTATATTTTCCTCCCGAACCCTGACCTTAAACCCCTAACCCTGTCTAACTCAAACCCGAATCTAAACCCTGACCCTGATATCAGTCAGATAATACAGAAGAGGGTTTTAATTTTTTTACAGGTGAAAGTGAACCAAGTCAACCTGAGCAGGTGAAGCACTGACTGAATGAGATGAAAAAAGAGAGTCATCAGATAAATCAGCTCAACAGAGAGATGAAAGATGACCTCACCTGTGCGTGACTCAGGTGAGTCCATGATAAAACCTGTCAGGTGTTAGTGTTGATCTGCACAGAGGATTACTGAGAAGAGGGTTTCCATGAGGTGACAGGATGAAGGGTTTGCGATAGACTGATGGATCAAACCTGTTCAAATTATTTCTAACGGTATCAACTGTCCTTCAAACTCAGTTTAACCCTTAATGAAACTTTTATTCCATCACAATTATTATAGTTACTATAATTATGATTAAAGCCTGTCATTTATTAATGCTAAAGCTTTGTTTTTTGTAGAATGAAGTCTGTCTTTATTTAGAATAATTAGACTACTTTATTTAAAATAATGAAAGACTGCTTGTATTAATAATTAAAGACAGTTTTCATTTTTTTATTATAATTACAGACTTTTGCTATGTGTTATAATTAAAGCCTGCTTTTATTTAAAATAATTACTGTTTCTTAATTATAATTACAGTATTTTGTTACTTATTAGAGTTTAAGACAGTTTTTTATTTATTTTAATTACAGTATTTTGTTATTTATTATAGTTTAAGACAGTTTTTTATTTATTTTAATTACAGTATTTTGTTATTTATTATAGTTTAAGACAGTTTTTTATTTATTTTAATTACAGTATTTTTTATTTATTATAGTTTAAGACAGTTTTTTATTTGTTTTAATTACAGTATTTTGTTATTTGTTAGAGTTTAAGACCGTTTTTTATTTATTATAATTACAGTATCTTGTTATTTATTAGAGTTTAAGACAGTTTATTTATTTTAATTACAGACTGTTTTTGTTTATTCTAATTAGAGATTTTCTTTATTTATTAAGACTACAGAATGTTTTATTTATAATTTTTAGAGACTGTTGTTAGTTTCAAATCAAATCTTTCTTTGGTTCGAAACTAAATAAATACTTTTAGAGTTTCCCATCAGCTGGAGTAGAGTAACACCTGGTGGACAGAAGAGGAACTACAGGAACATAATCTTTATTGGGTGCTTACAAACATGGATCAAGTGTTAGATTCTTCGAGTTTGAAATTTCTGTCATTGTAGAGGGTAAACCTTTAAAGACAGGTGAGCATCTGTTAGTGAAGGTGGTTTAAAATGAACATTTTCATCACTTCGGTTTATGCATCAGTTTAATATCCACTCCATCACTGAGCTTTAAAACGTTTTAATCCGTGTCTCTGACCTCTCACTTGAGCTGATATTATCCACCTTCACATGGACTAGAGCAAATTTAAAACCCTGAATGATCAGATAAAAAGAGAAAGAAACCATGTCTGTGTTTGTATCAAAAGCTCATAAACTGATTCTTTTAGGATACACGGGGGAAAAAAACAGATGTTAACCGTGACAGAGAACAGACAGAAACACTCACCGCGGCTGATGGTGGTAAAAAGGAGTAAATGTTGGAGTGACCATGGATCCTCTGATATCAGTTCACCGTCTCTGAGTGTTTCCTGCAGGTTTCCTCCTCTCAGCATGAATTAAACTACAACACAGCTTAAACATGACTCCACTTCCCATGACGCATCTCTCTGAGCGACTGAGTCTCTCCTCCTGCAGCAGGTTAATGATCAGAAACCTCTGGTCACAGAGGAACGAACGCTCTGCAGGTCTGTGACAGATCATCCAGGTCAGAGTCTTCACAGCGGAGTCGGAGGTCAGCAGGGTCTGTAGGACAGAGTCTAGAGCAGGAGGCAGAGGGAACAGTCATCCGGGAGTTTGTTTTGATCCCTCTCTTTCTTCCTTTCTGTCTCCTCCTCATGATCAGATGGTTTATTTCTGCAGCTCCTGTGGTGTGCTGAAGGTCTCATAGACGTTGGCGGCAAACTCCTTCACCTGGTCGTTCAACAGCAGGTCCTAAAAGAGGGGAGTCGGAGGACAGATGCTGTCTTTGATTTTCTGGAGAAAGAAATCTTTGAACTGTATGATATTCAGTGATCTCTCCCTGCTCTCCTCTCTCCTCCTCCGGTGGCTGCCTGATTTTTTACTACTTAAAGTGTTCTCAGTGGTCTTTAAATTGCAATTATGAAGTTTTTACCAAAAAATCGCGTTACCTGTGTCATTTTCAAGGGCTTTTCTTCTGCAAAACACCCAGCAGCTCATTAGCAATTCGTCTCTGAGTCGTGGGCGGAGACAGCGCTGCTCTGCACACTTGTCTTCATGTTAGCTTGCAGCCTAACATTGCCGGTGTAGCGGAAGTGGCAGGTAACATAGGAGCTATTCAGCTCTCGGACACTATTGTCTTTAGGGACACGATGAAGCTAATATCATAATTAGCTTTCTTACGAGGATTGCAATCCACTAACGCACACGGTTGTTCCACGACGGTCCTCTGTATTTCTCCTCTATATGCAGAGTGCGGCCTGCATAGCGGGGGCAGAGCTTGGAGTGGTTATGTATGAAATCTTACCATTTCTGAACCTGCTGTTTGCGTCTGCCAGAGAGTTACAGCAATTTGAATGAAGAAATACTCAGAAAAGCAATTTCGTGTTTAGTTTTCTCATGATATGTCCTGTAGCATCAAAAAAATGCCAAATGAACATATAAAAAACAAGAAAAACATGATTTTCATAGGTGTGGGTCTTTGACTTCATTGAGATAATTGACCAGCTTTAAAGAAACACAGCTATGAACAGGTGTGATCTGGTATGACCAGGTGTGATCCGGTGTGATCTGATGTCTGTTTGGCTTACCTGGACAAAGTGGCTGGGAGTCTCACTGCAGATTGTGTTAATCTGACCATTTATGATGGGGATGATCTTAGCCAGAGGCAGACTGACTGCAGACAGACTAAACACCCATACATACACACATGCGCACACACACAAAAAAAGAGATGTTTATAGATTAATGTTGGGTTTGAAAAATGTCTGTTTTCTGTTATATTGCCAAAAACATCCAAACACATCAAGCTGAGAGTTTATCACAAAGACACGTGACACGTGAAGCAGGTAAATCTTCCTAACCAGCAGGTTAACATTTCTGTTTCTGAAAATTCAGTGACTGAAGTTTAATTAAACAGTTTCTGAAGGATCCAAAAACGCTCAATCGACTGCAACTCATGACAGAAAACAGCAACAACAAGAATACACAACACCTATATTTTATAATGTTTGGTGGCTGACCTATCAGGTGCAAACTCAGGGGCGGAGTCACCAGGAGGCGGGCGGAAGAATTCGGCCAGATTGTCCAGAAGACGAGAGAAACCTCGATTCAAGCAGGCGCTAAGGACAGTGCTGAAGTCCGGGCTGGAGGGGTTGCAAAAACACGACAAGATCATCCAAATGCTGTAAAAGGTTTGTGAGAACACCGGCCTGAACTCACACACAGGTGGGGGGTTTACCTGTCCAACATGTCTCTGGTCTCGTTTAGCAGTCTGATGGTCACAGCGTCGCTCTCTGTCAGTCCACAGGCCTACAGAGGAGAGAGGTGAAGACAGTGTTCAGGTAAGCTCAGGTGTTTTCATCTATGACCATCGCTTTCGGTCAGATGGCGTTTGGTCACCTGATCAGCAAGGGCGTTCTCGTCGTCAGCCAGCATGTACCAGGAAAGCGGACGCTCGGATCCGGCCTCCACCACCGCCCTGATCCAGTTCAGCTGCTGCTCCAGGTCCAGCAGAGACAGGCTCTGTTTCAGAGACATGCTGGACACAAAGAGGGTTTATTTCAGAGAGGGTATAAAACTAGGATTCACACCACTCATACACCTGTGATCCATGAAAAGCTCTGACCTTCCCAGAGAGTCCTGGACAGCTCTCTTCACCACCGTCATTAACTCAGTCAGACCTGCACACAAACACAGAGGCAGCAGTCAGAGACCGAGTTAGCTGATTATCCACCTGTATCTGATCTGATCTCTGTTTGTGTTCGTCAATTTGTCCTACCGTCTCCCAGCAGGTGTTGGATGCTGGACAGGTACTGCTGCTGGACATCTGGGGGGGCCAGAGGAGTCTGAGATGACAAACACACAACAGATAACCGATTTAAAACAGCCCACTCAAGTCTTTAACCTAACAGCACACTCAAACATTCAGAGTCAGGAGGAGGAGGAGGAGGTGCAGTCTAGAGGATGGAGATCATCATCTTTGCTGGTTACTCAGGATGTGGTTCTTAGTTTCATCAGTCTAGGTATCTGGGTGGAGAGTTTCCACACTGAAAAGGGTTTAAGTATCTCAGAGGGAGACAGAAGCTGACAGGTGTGTTGGTGTCAGCAGGGATGCAGACATCGAGCTGTCCTGAACAGCCCAGAGACCCAAAGACAACCGGAAAAGACTCAGAGTGACCGAGGTAAATCAAGAGAGGCCCTGGGACACTAGGGGCTGAGTGATGGGTTACAGGACCCACCAGGACTGGAAACTACTCATTAAGAAAATGATGGATAGTTAATGGATGTTGGATGGATGTATGTTTGATGGATTTTGGATAGTTGATGCATGTTGGATGGATGGATGGATGGATGGATGTTGGAGAAATGTTGGATAGTTGAATGGATGTTGGATGGATAATAGATGAATGTTGGAGGGATGATGGATGGATGGATGTTGGAAGGATGGATGTTGGATGGATGGATGTTGGATGAATGGATAATGGATGGATGTTGTATGGATGGATAAGTAATGGGTGACTGATGGATGTTGTTTGGATGGATGGATAATGGATAGATGTTGGATGGATAAATGATGGATGAATAGTTGATGGGTGTTGAATGGGTGGATGTTGAATTGGATGGATGGGTGTTGGCTGGATGTTGGGTGGATGATGGATGGTTAATGGATGTTGGATGGATGGATGATAGTTCGATAATGTAAGGATGTTGGATGGATGTTGGATGGGCGCTGGATGGATGGGTGATGGGTGACTGATGGATGTTGCATGTATTGATAATGGATGGATGTTGGATGGATAATGTACGGATGATGGATGGATGGGTGGATGCTCTTGTTGTTGTTGGCGCTCTGTATGGTCAGTGAGGTTTAGCGGATCCAGTCTCCCATGAGGCGTGCGCTCTGTAATACTGGTTTCTCTCAGTGAATAAAATCAGTCTGACCCTCGTGATCGGTTTGTGTTTTTTTGATAGTCTGGAGCTTACAACTTACAAAACAGGTTTAATTACCTGTGATCTTACAGGTTGTCAGAGTCAATAAAGCTCATGAAAGTGGTGTTCCCTCACCTCTGTGCTCTTGCCCACAGAATTGTCCAGGTACAAGTATCCTCCAATTATGTTCAGCTGAACCCTGAGGAGGACCACCAGCATGCAGGTGCTATATACCCCCACAATGGTACGAGTGAAACCTGCACAACACAGAAAGAAACACAGGTCTGAGTAAACTGGGGACTAGATGAAATGGTAAACAAGTGTATAAATGACGGACTAGGACCAAATCCTCTGCAATAAAAATTTCAAAGAAACTAACAATATCATCAAGACCAAAACTCACTAATGATCTTTAAATCTTCCCAGATCTCAAGCTTGTTGGCTGGTCTGTGAAAAAAAAAAAACATCATTATCATCATCACAATAAGGGTTAACTGGGTTCATAGAGACTCTGTTAAATCTGACAGTAACAGGTGTCTTTACTCACCTAGTCTTTAACAGTGCAGTGAGGCTCTCTGAGTTCAGCTGGCTGATGATGGCGTCTTTAAGAGGAGGGAGCATGGACAGCACTGAAACAAACATTTAACACGGACAAATCACACACTGACAGCGACTTACAGATAGATGTTCCTTTTTAGAGTCGATCCCATGACAAGTAAAAGTGTGTCATACTGAGACAATGACTCAGTACAAAGTGTTTCTCACCGGTCATGTTGCAGGTCCTCTGGTTGCTCTCAAAGTGGAACTGTCGTCTGGCCTGAGCGATGTACTCGGTCGCCTCCTTCTCCTGAAGATCCTTGATCTTCTTCTGAGCATATTTTCCCAAAAAGTACACACCTGGTGAGAAGATCACAGACCACTGAGAGGAAGTAGAGACTTGAACAGAAACCAACCATCGGATGATCTGCACAGAGACTGAGCAGTCTGGATTCAGGCAGAGAATGGTTCCTTTGAAGGAAGAAGAGTTGAAGGAGGCAAATCCCTGATGAAATGAGGGCTACAATTGTGGACCATGTTGTCAATTGCGGCCTCATTATGGCTAAGGCTGATCGACGGGTGCAACCAAATGTATGGAGAACCACTGTGAATCCTATGTTTGTTCTAAATGACTGTGGTTTTATTTGAATTTTTTGGCACAATTCTGTAGAATTGCATAGTGCATAGTCCATAAATAAAATTCGATTTGATTGAATGATTTTGAGAAGTCTGTCAAGTACAGAAACTGTGTTGGACCAAGTCACTATCAACATCTTTCCTCAGGTTCAACTGACCCTCTGACAGATCCCCTTTAGAACCAACACTCACTCCTGCTGCTGTCAGTGGTCTTAGTCTGTCCCTTTGCTTATCAGTCTCTATCTCACACACTCACCTGCCTCTTCTCCTCCCTCTCTCCTGTCAGAGTCTCACCTGCTGTTTTCTCAGATTTGCTCCTAGTATCAGGAATCAAACAGCTGAACTGAACCGTGCCTCAGAATATAAATATCAGGTTATAAAGGTGTTCAAGTATATCTCTAAACCAGGACTCTAGTTGGTAAATACGGACCCAGGTAAAGTAAACTCAGGTGGGTCTGGTCAGGTGTGAAGCTAAAGTGAGCAGCTAGCTCTGAAGCTAACCGTGCAGCAGTTACCTCCGATCACAGCTCCGGTGAAGATAAATTTCCTTTTGTGTCGTTTGATAAAATTCCAGGCAGATGAAAACATCCTCAGACGGTTTCAGAGATCAAACTAAAAGTACAGTTTTTTTTTTAAGTTTCACTCACTCTTCAATTGACATGATACCTGAGGAGCAAGTCGGTGCTAACATGCTAACTGTCAGAGGACTGAGGCATGGAGTCAAGGCTGAAAAGGCTAGGAAGACAGCTTCCGGTTATTATTTCAAAATAAAGTGCAAATCGTCACAGAGTCGTTGGGTTCTTGTGCATGTAGGCCGATTGTAATTGAACACACTGTCACAGTCAATGATATATTTGAGGTTATTATGTTCAAAGGAACCACGGTGACATAATACCGGCTTCCTTGTCTAAAAAGGCTGATAACTATATTGACAAATGCAAAAAGCAGTGGGATGTCAAAATAAAGCTTCTATAATTCAGTGATCATTAAGTTTTACACTCAATGACTTTTTTTTTCTTTTCACAAACAATCAAAAAGAGAAATCCCAACAACAATCTTGTTAAAACACACACACCTGAACATCCTCAGACTAACAACTGAAGCTGTTTACATTTATTTTAATTTTTATTCCTATATTTCAAACATAACTCTACCAGCACTGCTTTTCTTTTCCACTACACCCACTTTTATCATTATGATTATTATTACTATTATTTTATAATTTAGCTGATATATTCTCTGATTAATTGACCTAACTTCCCTAAATAGACCTGACCTAAATAGAAATAGACATAGAAAAGACATAGAAAAAAGAAAAAACAATGTAAATGTAAAAGTGGTCTTTGTTTATGTGGACGTTGGTACCAACAGTTTTCATTTTAGATTTTTTCAATTAGTCAACATTTATTTTGATAATAGCATGGCTTGATTTCCGGTTAATGTTTGATGGATTGCATCGTGGAGCTGCAGCTCGATTAGTCTGGTCTTCCTCTGGTCCGTCTCTTATTATCTTCCCCTGTTGGTGGAGGAGCATGGCGGCAGGACTTTTAACGCTCTAGATCTGAGTCTGTAAATAAAAGTATCACCTGAAACTACCAGAGAGATCTTTGATGTGAGGGGTTAAAGTGTAGTGGTTACCATGGGAACAGACAAGGGTGGTACAGCTGTATCAGAGGGGAGTTTGTCTGTGAGTGATGGAGACATAGAGAGGTGGATGACCTGTGCCTTTGAGATGGTGAGACACTAAATAGGCTGATCTTTAGAGTTTAAAGTTAAATTCTCTTTCATCTATTATCATCTATTAATATATAAATCATGGACTTATTCAGTAACATTGGCATCCATTAACATCATGATCATCTATCATCATTCACATTATCATCAGTATCATCATAATCCATCAATATCACTATCTCTGTCTGTTTGTGTTGATTTATCCCAAATGTGTGTGTCTGTTTGTGTTGATTTATCCTGAATGTGTGTCTGTTTGTGTTGATTTATCCTAAATGTGTGTGTGTCCTCAGGCTGCAGACGCTTTGAAGGGCGGGGAGGTGCCTGTCGGATGTCTGATGGTTTATGAAAATCAGGTCGTTGGAAAAGGAAGAAATGAAGTCAACGAGACCAAAAATGTAACGAAACAACCTTTAAACTTTGCAGCCCTGCTGAACAACAGATCAAACTCATTGATCTGTAGTGTATGTGCTCTGTTTGCAGATGACAGGCTCTGATTGATCATAACTGATGATCAGCTCCAAGAATTTAGTCTGAAACACTCCTTCAGTATAAACTTTACACCCCCAAATCATGAGTCTAGTTTTCTTCAGAGCCATTTTAACCATATTAGACAAAGTTTGAAAAGTTTTCAGCTCAGCACCAAAGCTCTTCACATTTTTACCAGAACAAATGAATCTGTATTATCTGTATTAATTATGTTGTTGGAAGATTCAGGGACAGTACAGATATCATAAAGGTAAAGAATGGTGGACTGATCACAGGTCCTTGAGGTACTCTATACCCATCCTCTGACTCACACCTCCACCTGTAAGATAAAGCACTGATAATGAGTTTGTGACTTCAGCTGCTTAACGGATTACACTGTTCAGGAGAAAAAGTTTGATTTAAAAAGAAAATAAATAAAAAGTTTCACTTCCTGTCTGATTGAGTCTGTAAACTTAAAAAAATTTAACCCTCAGGTGAGTCAGTCAGGACAGTTTGAGTGGAAACCTCTACCTGTTATTTTTTAACGAAAATATTTTTTTCTCCTGTGTACGTGTGTGTAAGGCCACTCGTCACGCTGAGATGGTCGCCCTGGATCAGCTGCTGGATTGGTGTCACCATAGTGACCTGGATGTAAAGGGCGTGTGTAAGAGGACGGCGCTGTACGTGACCGTGGAACCGTGCATCATGTGTGCTGCTGCTCTAAGACTGCTCAGTATCCTGCTTGTGTGTGTGTCTCCAGAACACACCTATATACGTGTGTGTGTGTGTGTGTGTGTGTGTAGCTCACCTTTGCATTTTCCCATGACATGCTCTCAGACATCCCTGTGGTCGTGTTCGGCTGCAGGAACGAGCGGTTTGGAGGTTGTGGATCTGTTCTGGATGTTTCCTCTGCTGGTCTTCCTCAGACTGGAAGCCCGTTCAGGGTCAGCTGACTGTGTTTTTTTTTTGAGTGTTTTAATTCTGTCACTGTTTTCCATATCTAAACTCTGTTCAGAGTGAATCTGTGAAGCACAGCAGAGAAATCTGAGCGTTTAAGACTTTCAGTTTTACTTTGAGTGTATTTGTGTCTAATTAAATGTAATGTTTGTGTTTGTGTGTCGTCAGTGTGTTTCAGGCCACAGGGCAGATGAAGCTGTGGAGATGTTGAAAACTTTCTACAAACAGGAGAATCCAAACGGTGAACACAAACTCTCCTCCTCCCCTCTTTCTTTTCTATTTCCATCCTTTTCTTCTTCCTCTTAGCTGTTTGCACTCTCATTTCATAGATTTTTCTTCCTTTTCAGGATCTTTTCTCTCCCTCCTTTCCTCTGTCTCAGCACTTTGGAACCTACCTCTCTTTCCTTGTTCCTTTGCACATGCAGAACTTCTTTAGGTGTTTCTTCCCTTTGTTTAACTGTTCTTTCCTGACCCATTTTTTTTTGTATTATTATTTCTTCTCTCTCTTCTGTTTCAGCTCCTAAACCCAAACCGAGGAGGGACTGAGTGGTTCTGGATGAATCTGCTGATTATTCATCTTTGAGTTGTTCTTATTAATTGATTTTTTTTTTATTTAATGAATAAAACTTTCTAAATAATCAGTTAAGTGTGTTTCCTAAAATACACACAAAGAAAATATTGAAACCTGTCACCCTCTCCCTCACAAAGATGAAAGCAAACTAAACTCATTATAAGGTTTGCAAATAGAAAATTTCTCTGCGACGAGGGAGGATGCTCAAGGGAAGAAATGTTCCCGTGGTGTTATATTCAGACAGATATCCTCTGATAGAAACTAAACCTCCTTTGACTCAGGCCATCAGGAGACACTCAAACTTTATTGGTTCTGTGAGTTACCATGTTTATAATGTTATAGATGTTCAGTCGTTTTCCTGAAGTTTATGGATGAAGTCATGAATCAACAGGTATCAGATAATCAGGTTAAATAAAGTTTCTGTGTTAGATAATCTAGAGACCCATTTATGCTCCATGTTAAATGTACAGAAACAGAGACGTCCTTCACGTATCTGCAGGTTTGAGTCTGAGCGGCGCCCTCTGGCAGATGATCTGCTCAGAAGCGACACAAAGGCTACACTGAGGTATGAGACCTGTGAGGATTATAGCGTTAAAAACACACAATTTTATAATCATTAACATGAGAGGAGCATAAATGAGCCTCAGTGTAATAAACTGCATGTTTATTAATGACAATGAATGTTTGAGTATTTAAAGTCCATAATAACACAAAGGTTGACTCTGCCTTCTTCACCTCTGACACACTACTAAACGAACAAAGAAGAAAAGTAAATAACCATGATTTCTGTCTTTTTTTAAGTTATTGTTTCCTCAAAGTTCAAAGGTCCTCAGAGGTTTTTCCATTTCCAGCAAAGTTACTTGTTTTCTTGTTCTTCTGCTGTGCTGTGTAACTGGGGCATAAGTCATCCACCAAGATTTGCCAGTTTTTCAGCCCACTGAGTCAGGGAGATGATCACTCCCCTTTGACCTTTTCTGAAAGAGACACACAAAGCGAAGGGGAAAATTCTTTAAAAAACAGAAGAAACAGAGAAAAATTCATAAAAACCGTGTGTACCTGTGTGTGTACCTCTGTGTATACCAGTGTATACTTGTGTTTATACCTCTGTGTATACCTGTGTTTAAATCTTTGTGTAAACCTCTGCGTATACCTTTGTGTGTACTGGTTGTTACTCTCTGGGTATACCTGTGTATGTGAACCTGTGTGTGTACCTGTGTTTATACCTCTGTGTGTACCAATGTGTATACCAGTGTATACCTGTGTGTACTTGTGATTATACCTCCATGTATACCTGTGTGTAAATCTTTGTGTAAACCTCTATGTATACCTTTGTGTGTACCTGTGTGTATACCTCAGAGTTTACCTGTGTGATAACCTATGAGTATCCCTGTGTGTGTGCTGTATGTTCACTTCTGTGTACCTGTGTTGTACCTGTTTGTATTGCTTGTGTACACCTCTATGTATAGCTTTGTGTATACCTATATTCATTGATGTGTGTACAACTTTATGTTTACCTTCATGTATACCTGTCTGTGGTTTTTAGAGTGTTTCGACCTGTGATGTTACCTGTGTGTTTACCTGTTTGTGTACCTGCTTGTGTACATACTGTCAGTATGTACCTGTGTGAATACCTTTATGTGTGTGCCTGTATGTATACCTGCGTATGGTTACAAAATTGTGTATACCTGTGATTAGCCTGTGCATATACATGCAGAGTGTGTTAATCTGTGATGTTACCTGTGTTTTTACCTGTGTATGTACCTGCTTGTGTACTTGTAGGAATACATGTGTATCCCTTAGTGTGAATACTCGTGTGTATACTTTTACATGTGTGCCTGTATGTATACCTGCCTATGGTTAAAAAATTGTGTATACCTGTGATTAGCCAGTGCGTATACGTGCATATGGTTGTAAGAGTGTATATCTGTGATGTTACCTGTGTGTTTACCTCTGTGTATACTTGTGTGTATACCTGTGTGTGGTTTCTCCCAGATGTAGCTGTTGAGGATTTCTCCGAGCGTATAGAAAACACCGATTACCACCATCATAACGCTAAAGAAGACAACTCGAGCCAGCGGGGTAATGCGCTCCAGCACTGGGTACACCCACACACCTGTCACCTGGTGCACCCAGCATGTCCTGATTGAATGAGGGCACAGGAAGTTTGAGGGGAGGGGGGGTCAGTCATATATCACATGATGATGTTAAACAGGTAAATGACTGTATTTGTCAGGTGGTTTCAGTATTATTATTTTTTTTAAATCCTCTTCCTGTCTCACAAAAAGCTCTTCATGCTTGGGTATCTTTATATTAATATTATCAGGCAATAAAAAACATCCTGAACTTCAGGTGCCATAATTACAGTGCATTCAGAGGCTGTAAACCATCAAACCAAAACTTTTCTATCTTTGAGTCAATAAATCTGCAAATGGAAAATAACAGGAGGATTCTGATCTTAAGTACAAGACCAAGTTCCTCTTCAGTGACTTGTTTGTGTGGCATTCATGGTGTGTGGGAAAAAGTAAACCTTCAGTACCAGAGGATGTATGCAATGCCAAAGCAGCAAACAGCCACCAGACCGGATGATCTGCTAGGGTATCGATGGTTGGTGGTCCTCATCTCGATGATGATAAACGGAAGGACAGTGGTGTGCTGAGGGGACAAAGAATAATTTAGATTCACTTTTCGGTTTTCCTCGGACCCCAGAAACTAAAACTAGAAATAAGAACTATCACTGAGCTTGGGGGAGCAAAAACAAGATGAATGATCTTTACTCTCAAATAACCCAAAGATCCAGAGACTTTTGTGACATCCTTCAAACTTTTCCTGGGATCCTGGGACCTCTTTCTGAGAAACTTTTTTGAGGTCTAGAAAGACTGAGAAGGATCCTGGCATCCTCTTACTGGATCTCCAAAGTCTTTTGCAAGATTGGAAGAATCATTTGGTGATCCTGGGAAACTTTTAGGAGATCTTGAAAGGCTGAAAGATTTTGAGAAACTTAAACATTCTGAAATCTTGTATAAATAAACTTACAAGATCTCAAAGGAGCACTGACTTTTGCCTTAAATGTGTTAAGAATGAGGACCAAATACCAGGATCAGGATTTTCTAACTGCTCCTCTGAAGCCTCTGTCTATCTTTGATATTATATTGATCAGTTTAAATAAAGTCTGTATTTGATATTTAATTACAGTGAGTGGTTAAGTTTAAGAAAGTCACTCTCTTCCTTGAACAGCATCAGTGTGAAATCATCAAAGTCAAAGAAAAGACCGATCTCACTCTACACACACATTTATAAAAAGTCCTGACACTGCACTTATACCCAGCATGCATCTGTGGAATTCCTCTCTATTGAGTTTAAATGTAGTTTCCGTCCCTCCTTCTGTCTTCCCTGTCCTTGTTTCTTTTCTGACCCCCCCTGTGTTCATCCCTCCTCTCCCCCCTGAGGTCTGTGGTTCTGCTGGAGCCTCAGGCTGTCAGCTTTCAGCCTTCAGTATTCAGCTTTTGTGGAAACCCCCTCCAACAGACGGCAGTGGCTCGATCCTGTGGTCTGGGGCTAAAAATGGGATGTACTATTTCACACAGCTGGGGGTGGGTTGGGTCAGCTGACTGAAGGCGAGTTCATGGGTTCAAGTGTCCTCTAAAGTCGAGGAAAGCTGAGGTCTGAGAATCATAAATAGATTCAGATAGTTCTCAGGAGGACAGATGTGAACTTGGAGTGCTGGCTAATGCTCAAAAATCACACTCAATCAAAATGAAATCTGACCAGGTCACTCCTGGAGTTCAAATAAAACCTGCAGGCTAAATTTCTGACAGCATGAAAAACTAAGTCTGAAAACAGCAGCTGAGAACTGAACCCTGAAACCTGACCACGTTTCCTTAGCTCCACATGTAGAACACATAAAATAAGCCAAATAAGCCGGTCTGAGTGTTTCCCAGAAAACAGGTGACAGGAGATAGCGGGAGATGATATAAGACTACAGGAGACTACAGGAGACAGCAGGAGTTCAACGTCCACATGTCTGTGCTGGTTAGTTATTGTTCTAGTGGTAAAAAAGACCCAAACTAAGTGCTCCTGCTGGACCTCATGGTTATTCTTCAGACCGCTCAGTCATCTCTGGTTCTGACAGTAAACCTCTGACAATGAGATGAAGTAAAGATATATTGTTTTGTGTTTGGGAGTCACTCCTCAGACCTTTGGCTGAACTCGTCATTATTCCACACACAAAGGAGTAAAATCCCTCTCTGCTGTGTGTTTTTCTTTACCCGGTCTCTATAGTGTGGGCGCTGCACAAAACCAGCAGTGCACTGACTGAACAGAATAAGGTGGAACTTGTTTGAGGAGTGGAGGGTGAGCCCTGGATTTGAACAGGATAAATCTCTGCCAAAGAAAACACCACAGAAAACTCTGATTATAACTGAGATTAGGGTCCAAGCCCGCTCTTTTTAAACAGAGATAATTTGGGTTATGTCACAGCTTTAAATAAATAAAATCTGATTGGTTGATCAATCAGTATTGGATATCATTTCTGGGCCTGTTTTATCACATGATCCAAACCTGCAGCTGCAATAAGAGGATTACAGATTATATTGTATCAAACCAAACATAACATTTCATATCACAGTGTATCACACTCTATTGTCAGAATATACTTAGATATTATTACTTGTCATTCTGTATTATATCTTATTCTTGTCATAATGTAACATGTGCCAAAATGAATCAGGTCAAGTTGTAAAATATAATATCTCCTTCCATATTACATCACCTGATATTATATTTTATCATTTCATATTGTACTATATTATATTGGGTTGTATCTTATATCAAAGGAATATTCCGGCGTAAAATTAAGTTAGGGTCAAACGAGTTAGACACCCCCTCAAGAGATGAATGTTGCCGACTGCTTGCTTCTCTAGTTATACAAACTTCAGTAATGACCGCACGATAGCAATACACAGCGGTCTAAGGAGCCATAAACAAACCTCAACCAAAAAGCCACTCTATAGCCACAAATAACAGCACCTAACTTCATCAACAGGACATATAGGGTTCCAGCCACCGACTGCAAGAACATTTATGATCATTAATTTATCATTTCCTTGAAGTAATAATCACCATATTAATCATTTTGCACTGCAGACGCAGTAGTTCTTCTGCCTTAGTGTCTTGGTCTGATTGCATTTCCATGAAGAAATGATCATAAATGTTCTTCCTTGAGCTGCGTCACCCCGCTGTGGTCAGTAATGGGCTCGTCTGAGGTCTCCATACAAACAAGCCGCTGCTGGAAGAGTGAGGGTGAGTTGTGTTTAGTCTCTTTGCAAAAGAAATCAGGCAAAGTTAAAAAGATGTTTGGTGGCTAGTACTGTGGCTGGGACCCTATATGTACTGTTGATGAAGTTAGGTGCTGTTCTGAGCATTATTTGTGGCTATAGAGTGGCGTTTTGGTTGAGGTTTGTTCATGGCTCCTCAGACCGTTGTGTACGGCTATCCTGCAGTCGTTACTAAAGTTGGTATAACTAGAGAAGCAAGTGGTTGGCAACACTCATCTCTTAAGGGGTGTCTAACTCAGTGTTACAGTGTGTTTGACCCTAAATGAATTTTACGCCAGAATACCCCTTTAAAACTGTATCTTACTGTATATTTTATTGGGTGATCGCAGTGAACAGAATGATCAGGGTGATTGCAGTGATCAATATTAGGTCTGTAGATTCTGTTAAACACTCTGTAACATTCTGTCACTTTACAAACTCTGCTCTTGAACCGAATAAATAGACACTCTCCTCCTTTATCCAGGATCGCTCTGTTCCTCCCTCTTCCAATGGGAACGCCAACACCGTTACCACGACAACCAGCACAGACAAACATCAGTGATACCATGGAATACCACAAAATATTTACTGAGCTCACACACTCATGCATGCACACACACATGCACGAGCATACTGGTGGTGTTCTAGTTGTTTTGGTGACGCCATCATAGCAACTGCTCAACTGTTACATCATGCTCTGGAGTACAAGACAAGAAAACACACAAACGCACATACATTCACACAAACACATACAGCTTTTGTTTGAGTGGTTTAACAGGAATGATCAGTTTTTGAACACGTTACAATGCCTCTCTTCTCTCCTCTCCTTTCCTCTTCTCCTCTCCAATATTGATTTTTTTGGAACTTTTTGTGCTTTACAAAGATCTTTTTTGTGCTTAAAAAGAACTTTTTGTGCTGTTTTTGGTTAAAAAATGAAACAATAGTCCAATAAAATGTAAAAGTGTATTAAACAGAAGCACTTCTACTCTAAAAGGAATTATATTTAAGAAAAGTTAATGTGAGAAATCCAAATCCACCTGTCACCTGGTTTATGGAGAATTCTCCTCACCATTTAAATAAATACTCTCTGCGAGTGCTGACTGAATTAACAGGATAATAATCATTATTTTCGCAAAGACACTCTCTCTGCAGGATGACAAGGGTTGGTGCTGATGTTCATCAGTTAATCAGGAGCTCCCTGAGGGCATTTTTAATTATAACTGTTCAGTGTTATTATGACGTCCATAAACAACGATTATCATCATCAAATCACTGTCTGTTCATGGATCCATTCTCAACAGGTAAAGGTAAATTAAACAGTGAAATACACTAGACTGACCATGCCGTGGTTGAGCCACTGAGGGATGAAGTTGTCCAGTAGTCTGGGGTAGACCAGGTCTCTGTCGTACAGGTACAAACTCCAGAAGGTGAACACCACAAACTACAGAGAAAGAAAGACAAAGAGCAGGTTAGTGAGGATCAACTGTGCTGTCAGGTCACGTCCTCATATTTGCCCTCACAGTTACTCCACTGTCGGGGTGCAGATGCTTCTTATTCCCTTTAAAGACAGAGTATGGGGTTTAAAGCACTCTGGAAATATTACTGAAATCCTAACTTTGTCATACTGCTGAAGAAACACAGTAAAATAAATGCCCTAAGTCAAAAATGCACCACAACAACCCCCCTATCTGTTGACACTGTGGTAAAAACATCAGTGTACGGTGTCTCAGGGTGCTCTTCAAAGTGGCAATATAATGACAGTTAGTGGGCTTTGAATTGTGAGCTTATAAAAAGACCAAGACGGGGTCCCTGTGTCACAACCGCACCTCCAACTCCCCACCCCAGCAATCTGAGAGCAGAGGATACACCTGAATGCAGCTTTTGTGCAAGAGGAGGAGCTAAGGCTAGAGCAGGAAATCTGTAGGAGTGATAATATACCTGAGAGCAGGTGTACAGAGTACTGAGCATGAACAGAAACACCTGAGTGCAACAACAGGTCTAAGAGGAGAGGCCGAGCAAAGTCTGACAGTGTAACTCTACAGTCATGTTGTCTGATGATAAAGGTCAGTAGACTGTAGTAGTTCCTGAGAGCCCAGTTAGAGGATGACTCCAGGACTGTACTGGTTCTGGTTTGATGCATCAACAAAATACAAATCTAATTTTCCAGAGCAAGAATTTGAAGCTGCAGAGGGGAGCAGGAGCTACAGTCTGTGTTTATGCAACTCCAACATGTCTGAGTGTAAGCAGAGCGAATCAGAGTACAAGCGGAGGTTTATTACAGCAACAGCGGGGAGTACAGACGCATGGATGCATCAAATCAGAGCTGGTTTAAAAGAATAATAATTCAGCCTAAAGCTGATACTGATGTTTGACGTCTTTGTTGTTTTTGTGTCTGACTTTTAAATGAGCTTTGAAAGTTTGACATAAATGAACAGCTGTTAGCCCCTCTTTCAAGGTCTCTGGATGACGTTGCACAAACTGCTTGTTGCTGATCTTTTGGAGACAGTGTGATATAATTCACACACTTAAAGGGATATTAAAGGGCATAAAATTAATTTAGGGTCAAACACACTGTAACACCAAGTTAGGCACCCCTTTAAGAGATGAATGTTGCCACCTGTTGCCCCCGAATGTTGTCACCTACTCTCTTCCAGCAGCTGTTTGTTTGTAGCGAGACCTCAGGCCAGCCCATTATGGACTGCAGCGGGGTGACACAGCTCAAGGAAGAACATTTATGATTATTTCTTTATGGAAATGCAATCAGACCGAGACACTAAGGCAGAAGAACTACTGTGTCTGCAGTGCAAAATGATTTATATAGTGATTATTACCTCAAAGAAATGATAGAGAAATGATCATAAATGTTCTTCCTTAAGCTGCGTCACCCCGCTGCAGTCCATAATGGACTGGCCTGAGGTCTCGCTACAAACAAGCGGCTGATGGAAGAGAGTAGGTTAGTTGTGTTTAGTCTCTTTGCTGAAGAAATTAGTCAAAGTTAAAATGATGTTTGGTGGCTAGTGCTGTGGCTAGGACCCTGTATGTACTGTTGATGAAGTTAGATGCTGTTCTGAGCATTATTTGTGGCTATAGAGTGGCGTTTTGGTTGAGGTTTGTTTATGGCTCCTCAGACCGTTGTGTATGGCTATCCTGCAGTCATTACTAAAGTTGGTATAACTAGAGAAGCAAGTAGTCGGCAACATTCATCTCTTGAGGGGTGTCTAACTCAGTGTTACAGTGTGTTTGACCCTAAATGAATTTTACGCCGGAAAATCCCTTTAACTTTACTTTAGATCATTATAACAAATTAGTTAGTCCAGCAGAGACGTTTCAAGACCGATAATAAACTCTGAATTAGCTGTGAGGACAGCTTTACAGATTTACTTCAGTGCGATGAAAACAGGATAGGGACTCCTGACATCAGTGCAGGGAGCAGCAGGAGCAGCTGTGCAGAGGTCTGTTGGCAGGGCTGACGTCTGCTGATTCTGAAGCTGATTCATCAGGTATAAGAGAGAGACAGCAAAAAAAGGCTCTAAATAAGAGCTTGATGAATCTGTTTTCAAAGCCAGCGGTCAGTGACAACATACACCTTCGATGCCCCAATCTTATTTTAATGAAAAACATTTAACAATACTTCTGAAACAATACGAACATTTTGTTTGTTTTAACTGCACATGAGGTAGTTTTCTCAAATATAAATAAAAAGTTTAAAATATTGCTGTCCAAACTACTAAAAATCAGTTCCTTCTTTTAGTCTTTTATTACCACATTGTAAAATTACCAATACTTGCACAACAGGTCACACTGCAGGCCTGTTTTGAGCCTCTTACCATATTAAAGTGCACAGCGGCATTTTGCTTTTACAAAAAAAAAAGGAAATCAAAAGGTTTGAGGAAGTAAGTAAAATAATTATTTACAGGAGAAACTAACAACACAACTTAAAACACCAATAAACTGTCCTGAGTTTTAGGTTTCCTTGTAGTGGGTTCAACATGCTTCGTTGGTCATGCTGCGAATGACTGTTGTGTGTGCCGCTGGCGCTGACGCACACGTGCTTGCACACATGACCTGGTGGGTGGGCCTGTAATTCTGGCAAAGCAAAAAGCAACAACGGCTGACTTCAGACCTATGCTGAGGTAGGCAAGATCGGTGGATAAAATCGGTTTCATATGTAAGGATCAGCCGATCACCGATCCCCCCGCAGATCCACCAGCCGGACGATTTATCGGTGCATGTTTAGAACCAAGATATGGCCCCATTCAAGACACCTGAAGAATACAGTTTTAAGAATCATGTCCACGTTTTTGCATTCAAAACCCTGCAGCAGAGCAGAAGCCTGGAGAGTTTAGAGAATCTGGTTTGAATGTGCAGATGTGAGAGTATGAGACAGTCTGAGTATTAGCAGAGAAAAGCGGAGTAGGAGCAGAGACTATTTCAGGGTGCCGGTTTTTAAGGACAGCATTGCAGACTGAAAATGAGAAATGGATGAGACACATACCAAAATATAAACACACTTTACTATGAAGATTTGAACACTTGGATGAAGACTCACTAAGTTCAGAGGTGGACAAGGTTTCCTCTGTTCTGCTGAAATCTAAATGAAGCTCTGTTTGTGCTCGTGACTTCCACATGCTAGGCTCAGAAATGTTTACAGACCTCTAACAGAGCAGAAAGCCTCCTGGACCAGAGCTGGACCTAGGTTCAGAGAGAGCACTGCATCCTGTCAGTGTGTGTGTGTGTGTGTGTGTGTGTGTATCCATCTACTCACAGCTCCCACGGGGAAGGCCAACACCGCCAGCATCCAGTCCCTCAGGCCGATCAGCTTCTTCAGCTGCCTCTCCTGCTCCCTGCTGTCGCTGCCTTTAGTCAGCAGACAGGACACATCGATCAGGACACAGAGCCCGAAGAACACGGCCTGGATCACCTGCAGAGAGACCATGGGGCACTTTAATGACATGTTTTCTCATGACAGACTCTGCTGAGAGACAGACTCTGAGGGGAGACAGAGCTCAGTATCAGAGGAGAGAGAGAGAGGATAGAAGCAACCAGTAAATTAGGACAAAAAACTGAAGAACATCAAAGTCACTGTAACATCCTCCAGAGCATCAGTGTAGACAAATGAAGAGCAGAAACAGTCTGAAAAATATCCCTGAAGCATTAGAGCCTTAAACCTGAACTCAGTCTGCAGGTGGAAGATTGTGTCGTGTAGGCATGTCTGATAGCATAGGCTGCTGTTATTACCAGATGTTTCAGAGTCTGTCAGTGTTTTTGTAAAATTGTTTAAAATCACAGATCAGGATTACTTAAACATGGCAGAAGCATGTTTGGTTTGGTAAAGCAGTAAAAAAAAAAAGAGCTCAGATCAGGTTTTAAACTCTGAGAGGACCTCAGGGAGAGTAGCTGCTGCTTCAGTACAGACTAAGTAAACATGCACTATATATAAATACAATATATATGACCCAGAATAACAGGAACACACAAACACACTAACGTTAACTGACAAATGAGCCTTTGAAAAAGTTTGAGAACTAAGGTCCAGTGCAGACATGGACTCTATGATTTTAACAGAGTTTGTGGGCCGTGGATGCTGGATGAACACTCACTGATCTGAACGCTGAAGGGAAATTAAATTAGAGACATTCATGCTATAATGATGAGCTACAACACACACACACGCACACACACGAACACAAACACAGAAAGCCTGCAGTCAAATTGAACAACGAATCTGTTCATGTGTCTAAAAAGAGGCTATTCTGTTAGAGGTTAATGTTGTTAGCAGATATCCACAAAGATGGCACGTTAGCTTTAGCAGTAACATAAACAGAGAGAGGAGGCTTTGAACAGACAAAGGTTATTAGAGTTCACATTGTACTCAGAGCTTCTGTCTCTGTTTCTATAGTTCACATTATAATTAAATCATCTGAATGATTGTTTTTGGATAAAATCACAGCGCCTCATTCCCTCTGCACCTGTGTGTTTATTTGAGATCGTGCTCCTAAAAGGCCATCTACTGTGAGAGCTCAGGTGTAGGTCAAATGTCTCTGTGAGAAGACTTAAATGACCTCAGATGTTTCATTGATCAGGTTCCAGAGCGCAGAGACAGTCAGATCACCTGACACAGGTGGAGACACTGGCCTCATAATAGAAGATTTTACCTGATATTAACTGTAAAACCTTTACCAACCAAAGGCTTTAACAGACTCTGTTTAGGACTTGGCAGCTCAGCTTAGGATCAGATGAGCTGAAGACCTGAGGGTGGCACTATTAACTTTAATTTATCTTATAAGTCTTTTTATTATGTATTTATTTTACATTTCTGTTTATTTTTGTGACTCCTAAACGGTTTGATATTATTAGTAGTATTACAGGTAATTTTCCTATCGTGGTTGGGAGGAGGATTATCTTACTTTATTTGTCATATTTGTGTTTGTAAAGCACTCTGCGCTTCAGTATGGTTGTATGGAAATTTCTTTATAAAAAAAGTCTGATCAGTTGGCTGGTTGAGTAGCTCATAACAAACTAGTGAGCGGCTGTTTAAAATACACCTAATGGATAAAGAGAGAAGAAAATGAAGAGGAAGAGGATGCGCAGAGGAGGAGGAGGAAGAGAAGGAGGGTAGTGATTGTTGTGCTGTGAAGAATAATAATAATAATAAATTTTATTTATAATGTGCTTTTACAGGAGCTCAAAGACGCCTTACAAGGAAAAAAATAAAAATAAAAAACATAATTTAAAAAACAGAAAAGAATGTATGTTATTTGTGGTTGATGTGATGGTAAAATCTTGACGAGAGGGGATTAGAGTTATTATGCATCACTAGGACAGGCTCAGAGGACAAGAGTTCGGTCAAAGCCAGTGAGGTTATCAAAAATCAGACTAAAATACAATTTCTGTCTGTTTTTCTATTGTTTTTCTGCTTTTTTGATTGTTTGTTTTTCCACCTATTTTTCTGTTGTTTTCTCTGCTTTTTTGTTTGTTTGTTTTTCTCCCTGTGTGTCTGTTGTTTTCTCTGCTTTTTTGTTTGCTTGTTTGTTTGTTTTTCTGTCTGTTTTACTGTTGTTTTTCTGCTTTTTTGTTTGTTTGTTTTTCTGCCTGTTTTCCTATTTTTTTCTGCTTTTTTGTTTGTTTTTCTGCCTATTTTTCTATTGTTTTTTTCTGCTTTCCTTTTTTGTTTGTTTTTCTATTGTTTTTTTCTGCTTTTTTGCTTGTTTGTTTTCTGCCTGTTTTTCTATTATTTTCTCAGTATTTTTGTTTGTTTGCTTTTTCTTTTTTTTACTTGTTTATTCGTGTTTAGTGAATATTTGAATCATTTTATCCTTTGAAGATTTTTTTGCTACAGCCTGACTTCAAACCAATACATTTCAGTGAACTATGAAATCATTTTGAAAATCCTTCACCATAAACTCAGCGCATTTCACAATCAATAGTGGGCACGCGGCGCATTCCCGCGTGAGGACACCGTTTGTAACAGGGGAGCATTCCGCACCACAACACCTGTTCCGGTTCACCCTCTGTACCGTGTTGAGCAGAAAACCAGGTCGGAGCTTCCAGACCGGACTGCAGACACAGTCCAAGGTTCATGAGTGTCATTTCAGCTCCTTATTTCTCAAAAAGGGTCGATGAGGAGCAGACAGAGACCGAAAAAGAGGAGGGGGTGCAGAAACGCTGAATAATGGTTCAAACACGATCACAACACGAGGCTCAGCCTGCAGCTCACTCCCCGCTATATTCAGGTTCAAATAAAGCTCCAAAAAAAGCTTACCAGGTCTATGAAGGTGAGGAACTTCCAGCTGCCCCCGTAGGTCTGGTGAGCCGGCATGTCTAAGGCTTTGTAATGACAGAGGATGGAGAAGTAAGACAGCAGGATGGCGACCCGGAGGACCTGCGAGGGGATCAGCGCCATGATGCTCTGTCTGTGTCCGTCTCTGAGCTCTGAGCTCGGGTCTATCTGTTCCTGTTTTAAGCCCGCTTTTCTGGCCCTCTTGCGTCCTACTCTACACCCTTATCTAGACCTGAATCTGTTCCCGTCCTGACCTCCCTGTGTGTGCAGCCTCTGCTCCTGCACAGCCCCGGCTGCTGCTTCCGTGTTGTGATGATGATGAAAGGGGGAGGAGGGAGGGGGAGGTCCGATAGTGCAGAGCAGTGCACGGTTATGAAGTTAATGCATGGCTGTGTCTAATGACTGATGCACATGATTCCCCGGATGATTTCAGTCACAGCAAATGTTGCAGGTCAGCTGACTTTTAGGTCTGAGGACTCTGCAGGTAAATTTAATTAAGTCAGAAACACACCTTGAAACTGGCCAGAGTGGTTTCTACACTAACAATAACACCAATTTGACCATTTAAACATCATACTTCACTCTGATTGGGCGATACTGCAAAGCATTAGTTAGTTATGTCACGATAGCACACCGGTACCAAGGTGAACACGCTGTTGCTATGGAGAACGCACCGTTGCTAAGGAACACACACCGTTGTCAAGGAGAATAGCTGTTGCTAAGGAGAACACACTGTTTCGAAGAAGTACATGCTTTTGCCAAGGAGAATACACAGTTGCTAAGGAGATCACAGTTGCTATGTTAAAGGCTGATTGAGGACAGCACGTGTTGTGGTCGGCTACATACAAATATACTTTTCATGAGATAATGAAATGCTTATCTGTTCAACTGTGATGATTCAAAGTAGATATCACAGTTGTGTTGGATTAATGAGACTGATGATGGTTTGTGAGTTCTCTTTTCCGGTCTGTGGGTGTGAAACAAACTTGTGAACTCGCTTTCATGTGTGTAGAACCTAAATATTAACATTTTTTCAAACAAAGCACCAAACTTATCTTTACAATTCAAGCCACAGAGTTATTATATATTTTTATGGAACCTTTTTGTTGTTTTTGAGTTTGGATACTGCAGTTATGAGTCATTATAAGTTGTATCAACCCGAGTCTCCTTATTCTCAGAGCTAGTTTACTGTTTTTGCAGCACGTTTTCTCTTGGTGCAGATAATGTGACTTTATGCTACAGTTCTGTTAGTGCAGCGTGTTTGCATTATTGGTGTTTGCATTATTTATCCAGTATTTTCTCTGTCTTCAGAACTTGCACCATTTTAAAACTTATTTAGTTAATTTTTTTAAATTTGTAATGTTTCAGAATATTTTGCTTTGTCAAAATCTACTCTATAAAAGAATTTCATTGTTTCAGAACTTGCATAAATTAATTAATTAAGACTTTGCAGAGTTCTAAAATGCATCCTTTCTTTACACTTAAGAACTTTTTAAAAACCTTTTTTTCTTTTTTTTCTTTTTTTTACAAAAACTGCTCTGTTTTAGAACCTGCAACATGTCTCTCCTGAAGCTGGAGCTTGTCCAGACATGTGCATCTTGGTTTGAAAAACTCTCTGAAACGAAAAATAAAAAAAGAGGTAGTGATAAGAACAGAAAACAGCTTCATCAGAAGGTCTTAACGCTGAAGCAGGCGGCCCAGGTTAAAGTTGGGCCTTTGACCCTTTGTCACATGTCATTTATTATTAGCTTTAGAACAGGAGAAGACAACACTCATGTAGCTGCTTTTGTTCTTTGCCATGTTCTTTTATTCTTGCACTTTTTTATGAAGGTGTTTTTTGAATTGGTTACTGAATTGAGAGAAAAAGAGAAATAGAGAGAAAGAGAAAGTGGGTGTTTGTGTGAGAGAGATTTTCTTATTGGAAATAAAGACTATAAAAAAAAAACAATCTAGACTGACTATCATTTAACTATTCTACATATTGATATAAAGGCTGAAAAATAGTTTCTCCTCCTGTACAGAGCAGATTATGTCTCTGTAACACAACATCAGACATACAGTAGCTTTATAGAACTTAAAGTCCACCTGCACTCATCATTGACAGAAACATCTGAGTCACCTCTTGTCCTTGTCTGCTTCCTAGCTGCATTTCAGCTTAGATAAATTAAATAAGCTTTGCCTGTCCTGTTAAAAAGATAAAGTTTCCACTTGACTGCTGTTTTCCTGTAACCTGCTCCAAAGTTAAAAACAGTTTTTGACCATGTTTCATTAAAAACCATAAAAACATTGTTTAAAACCTTTAACCTTTAAAACCTGTCAGTCTGACACACTCTTAAAACAATGCTGTAAGAATCACTTCTTTAGTTGACTGCTCAAGGACAACCAGAGAAGTCTCCAGGTCTCAGATAAACTAGTACTGTTCTTACTAAAATGTGCTATGAAATATGTGTGTGTGTGTTGACCTTGAGGTGTGTATCGACTGTAGCAAACCTGTCAGTCAGAATAAAGAGACAAATGAAAGGAAAAGAGTCCTTAAACATAATCTCAGCTATTAAACAAGTAGGTTAATTGGTAACCTCAACAACAGACACATACAAGACATTTCAACTGTGTTATGTGAAGCTATCAATAGTATCTTGTAATGATAACCAAAGGGAGCCAGAACTGTTTTTCTCTAATAGTGATATACCTAAACCTGACTTTGATCAAGCAAGGGAGTTAGAGTCACCTATAACTGAAGGTGAAATAAGGGAAGCTGTATCATTAATTAACACTATAGGAAATCACCAGGTCATGATGGGTTTCCTGCAGAGTATTATAAAGAATATAGACATTTTGGCCCAGGTACTGGTGAAGGTGTACCAGGAGGCTTTTGAGAAAGGCCACACACCACTAACAGTTTATGAAGCCTTAATATTTTTAAATTCAGTTGCTCTCTTTGTTAGTTTGCTCTGTTCTTGTAAACTCTTTCCACTGTTCCTGGTTTTCTTTGAGGAGTGCCAAAAGAAAACTCCTCCTCTATCTCCTCTCCTGCAGTTTCAGCTCTGAGCCCTCCTCTACCTGCGGCCTGATGCTGTGAAATTTAAAGTAGACCTCATCTCTACATCCATCAATGCATCAGTTTCCTCATCCACCTGTTTACCTGTCAGTCTAAAGTCTGAAGGCACCAGAGCTCTAAAATCCTGTCTCAATGTCAGGGCTGATGCTGACCAGCAGGGGGAGCTGTTTAACTCCAAACAGAAAGTGAAGAGAGACGCTGACGAACTTGAAGAGGGTTTGTGTGTGTAACTGTGTGTATGTGCTGCTCTCTCTCTCTCCTTCTCTCTTTCTCTCTCTCTCTTTCTCTCTATCTCTCTCTGCTTGTTGTGTTTATCTCTCAGGTAGTTTGACCTTTAGCCTCAGTTTGTTATGTAACATCAGGGCCACACCTCATCACACTGATGACTGTGTATGTGTATGTGTGTGTGTTGTGTGTATGTGTGTGGTTGGATGATGAGGATTAATGTGGCGTCATGAAGTGAATCAAAGACCACAAGATGGAAAGAGACACTACGATAAAAACTGAGTGTGTGAGAACATGTTTTAAACTGTGAACACACTCACAGGATGTCATTCTAAGCAAAACTAGGTGTGTTAGTGTCGTTAGTGTATGCATGTTAGTGTAGTTAGTGTGTGTGTGTGTTATTGTGTTTTAGTGTGTGTGAGTAAGCATGAGTAATCAGTCAGCTGTCACTGAAGTCTTTGTCTTACAGCGTTACAGTTCGAACCGCAGGACAAGGGCCTGAGGCGCTGCTGCTTGTGTGTGTGTGTGTGTGTGTGTGTGTGTGTGTGTGTGTGTGTGTGTGTGTGTGTGTGTCCAGCTAAGATCTTATTGTTAAAATGGTTTCAAGATGCTGGTTGTTTTACTCTGCGCTGTACTGTGGATGAAATCGGTGAATGTGCAGATTTAGTGTCCTGCTCTGAGAGTTTGGATGGGGACACATTAATGTGTGACACATGACTCACATTCTGGGACTGTGGCCACTTTGGTTACTTCAGTTGACACCCTGTTGGGGGGGAGATTGGCACCAAAGACCCTCTCTATGTGGTAAAAACACTGCGTGGATGCTCAGAGGCTGTGGAGCGTCATTAAAACCTGTGAGTCAGTAACAACTAAGTCCATCCCTCAGTGTGTCTTTATTCCTCACAGTCTCACTCAAAGCTACAAACCCACACATGTTAAATAAACAGCAGGTAATATTGCTCTAATGACATAACAGGGCGGATCAGCATGGTCTGACATACAGTCTATGGTTTTACTCTAAACTGAACTGAATAATTCTATTATTTTAATTGTTTTCATGATTTTATTCATTGTAATGATTTTAATGGTTTTAATAATTTTTATGATTTCAATGTAATGTCCTCTCCCTTTTAAAGAAAAAAGCGCAGAAGAATGAGTCAGAAGTATGAAAAAGCTTTTTGAATGCAGACACTTCACTGAGCTTAATCACTGTAGTGAAACTAAAACCCATATCCTGACCCCACCTATGGATTTATCATTTTTATGTAAAATTAATTAATACAGATTTTATTTCATTTTCTCAGTTATTAATCAATCAGTCTTTATTTATGTAACACTTTTCATACACAACCATATAGCACAAAGTGCTTTACACAGAAAAAAAAGAAAAAAGAAACAAAGAATACCCAAATCTACCCCAGCCCAACCCCTCATTCCCACCCCAAAATCTAAATGCATCAGAAACAGTATTAAAATGCATAAACTTAAAAAGGGCTAAGAGGATAAGGAAGATAAGGAAACACTGGAGGTTTAGGTTAAAATCTAAAAACAAAGTAGCATAGAATGAAATTTAAGAAATGATAAATAAAATTAAATAAAAACAACAGTAAAGATACTAAAATAAGAGCACCAAAATAGCTCACTAAAAGACGATCCTGTCATTAAATAAATAATAAACACGTTAACAAAGTTAATGATATAAAATTTAGTTAAAAGCAAGACTAAGAAGGTATGTTTTCAGTTTTCTTTTGAAATCATTAGGATCAATATCTTTGTATACTGTGTCAACATTGATCACCATTATGTCCTGAGATTTCTGTCATCTAAAATGAAATCTTTCATAGGTAGATTTTCCAGTGAGCACATCTAGGAATGACAGGGACGCAGGAATGAAGTCTAATGTGAAAATACATGAAACCCTTTAGCTATGTCCTCATAATGACAGCTGTGAGGCAGATTATTGAAGTAATGAGTCATCTGAAGTCATTTTCTGGCTCTCACTCCTGTTGCTGGGAGAAACTCTTTCCCCAGAGTGATTAAAACCAATCATGAGGAGGTTTTCTGCAGCGTTTCTACAGAAAACCTGCATTTTATCCGATTCTCCAGCCTCCACAAACAGAACATACATGTGACAGAGAGAGCGGAGTCAAAGCGTCAGGCCTCCTCCTCCTCCTCCTCCTCCCTGCAGGCCTTCCTATGAAAAGCGGATGCAAATCGTCGCTTCAAAGCTGCTGCAGCACTCTGTCACCATGGTGCTGTGTTGCCACGGCGTCGCCATGGGGACTCCGGGGTCACCTGTGATGAGGTCACATCCTGATGAGCCTCTTATGGGAAACAGCAGACGTTAATCCACTTATCGCTGGCCAGCACACACATACACTTACACACATATACACACACACACACAAGTGTGCACACACACACATGCACATGCCAAGGATAAGTGAGCATGTGGGCTGAGATGGAGGGCCTTCATTGAGAAGCTCTGCGGCAGGAGGCAGAATTAAAGGAACCATCAGTGTTTTTAGGATTTATCTGACAGTCTCATTAAATCCAAAACAAGTTCAATTAAAAAGTTTGCTGAGTTTCTGTTTCCCTTTACAGAGATTAAAGACGCCAAACCCTGAGCCAGCAGAGTGACAGTCAAGTTTGATTTCTTTAAAGCCTCAGTGTCTCAGGCTCTCTGCTCTCTGTCATCCCCCTCTGCCTGTTGACACTATGGCAAAAACACAAGTCCCTGTTTTAATGCTTACTCTATAAACAGCACAGAAGATATTTTCAAGACTAGTTTAAATGTATTCAGAGAGCACAAACCCTCGGCTTGGCTCTTACTGTCAGAAGCAAAGAAGAGAGGAGGAAAACAGCTGGAACTGATGGAAAAACATCAACCAAATTGAAGAAAACAGACATAAACAGCACACTTAACATGTTATGGGTTTTTCATTGTTGAACTAATTCAATGGAAGAAATAGTGAACAGAGATTTTTAAGTTCCTGCTGAAGATATTTGTTGGTTTCTGCATCATTTTAAAAGAAAATGAGAAAATGGTATTTTTCACCCTGAATAAAATGTTCCATTAAAAGCTGACATTTAAACTTTGGTAAATAGGAAAACGCAGCCTTTATACAAATCTGTTTTACGTTATAATAATAAAAAAAAAATCATCTTCCCATCAGTCATTCAACCTATACATTGCCTGGCTGCTAGCCAAGATATAGCTGGGATTTTTAATGAAGATGGACAGTTAGGGTGGATTGAAGTTGTGGCTACAAAGAAGTTCTAGGTCCAGGGTCCTGCTCACTCTGTCCAGATCTGATTCATTGAGCTGGAGCCAACTTTTGTATAGATGTCCAATTGATATAAAAGATATTAACCACAGATAATGTCTCGAAACCACTTAAACGTCATGGGTCAGTGAGACATAGGTGTCCTTGATCCCTTTGTTATTTGGGTTGGCTATAGAGCCTTTGGCCATGGCCATAAGAGACCATAAAGGCAATTAGGGTATAACTGGTATTTAATCATCGATATTTGATCTATAACTGATCAGACCAACAGGGCCCATTGATACTGTTGTAATTAATGATACTGTCCATGATAATCTGAATAAATCAGCTTCATAAATCTACAGCAGAGACAGATTCAGTTATTAAATAACTCTTCTTTTAACCCCTTCTTTTCTTATTGACTATCTTTTTTATGTGTTGTTTTGTGTATTGTTGTCATGAGTGGAAGAAGACAGTTGTATGTGCTTAGATTACCTGTGTGAAAGCCTATCTGTCTCAGTGCTGTGGATTATCTGCCGCTGTGTTCGCTCTCCCTTTTTCTTAATCCTGTTATATAGTCGGGATTACACAGAGGAAAACTGCAAGTCACACAGTTGCAGTGCCAATTTTCCCCCAGTGGACGTTCGTGGTAGTGCAACAACAATAATAAATCAGTGACTCCAAAGAGCGGCTGTCTATCGGGGAGTTACTATTTAGGAATTCTGAATAGTTAATTGTGAAGTTGATTGTTTTTCCTGGTCCTTTGTTGTTCTGTTGGCTCACTTTATTTGTTTCTTTGTTTGACTGTGTTTTCCCTCAATAGTGTTACTTTCATTACAGTTGTTAGTTCTGATCTTTGTCACGTCCTGTTCCTGTACAGAACTTTGCAAAATAAAATACATACATTTATTCAAAAGCTCTTTGTTGTTAAAACAGATTAAACGTCTACTGAAACTCTTTCTGGTCAGCCTGCAAACATATTTAATATTCCTGTAAAGTTTGATATTTTTAACATGCATCCTGATGAGAACTGACTCACCTTTGGAGCTGACCTCTAGTGGACATGGGCGGAACTGCGATTTTCTTATCTGTGGCTTCAATCAAACATAAACTAAGATTAGTACATATAAGCGTCTTGTTTTACTTGAAATATTAAACTTTTATTGTTCTCGTTTTACAAAATTTCTCTTCAGGGAGTTTTTTTTTGTTTTGTTTTATACTCCACATCAGACAGCTCTCTGTATTCAGATATTTGACTCTGTGACAGGCAAGACTGATATTAATCAGTCAGGGTATCAAACCTCTGACGTTTCAGGTATAGTTCTGTAATTGTGCAACCTGATGCGAGAAAGTGCAACAGTTTGTTAGGACAAAGACAATACAGCACCTGAAGCTGCACAAAGGAAACACAGGGTTTCATCAGGCCTGATTGAATTTATTAACAGGAGGGTCCCTGAAATGAGCTCCTCTGTATTCCTAAATGTGTTTCACAGATGAAAGGATCCAGAGCTGGAGTATGAGTGTGTGTGTGTGTGTGTGTGTGTGTATGTGTGTGGGTGGGTGTCATGTTATTATCTAGGACTCAAAGCTGCACACAGGTGAATGAGGTGGATTACTGTTGTGTGAATGACTCAGGCAGCCGACAGAACCAGCCCATGCTGACCTCTAAAGGTTTATGAAGCATGTTTTAGCCTCTCAAAATGGTATCTGCTGATAGATCAACACTAAGCTTAGCTCTCCTCTGGTTTGACCAATCAAAATCTGTCATTCTTTTGGAAATCTTGGACGCTGCATCCCCCTCAATAGAGCAGAGGGACACCCTTTTATCCTTCATGTTTCAGAAATCTCATCAGAGGGTTATGGTCACACTATTTTCAGCATCCTGTATCTATGAAGCAGTGGTTCTCAACTGGTGGGTCCCAACCCAAAAGTGTGACGAGGACACATTCTGGATGGGTCGCGAACAGCTGGTCAAAAAAGTAAATATTTAATGCGTATCTGATGTTTGACAGGTCTTTTATTTTGAAAAATAGCTTATTTTGATATACGTAAAAGTCATTTTTTTATTTTGCTGGTCTCCATTTTGTGCAATTTGATAAGTGATGTTTTCTGTATATGCAACCTCAGTAGTATGGTATGAAGGACCATCAGCTCCTCTTGTAGGCCTCCTGTAAATTTCTATGAATATTTCTCCCTAGTTTTTATTTTTCTAATTGCCTTTATTTTCTAAAATTTTCACGATTTGTACCTCAAATCACCATCACAGCTGTATTAATATGATATGCAATCCTCTGATGCTGCAGAGTGAGCTCATTTCCGGTGGTATCCTATAGCTGCACGTGCAGATAGACATGCAGTCAGACAGACAGGTCGCTCCAGAGGTGACCGGGGAATCCTGCTCCCTCTGTGCAGGCAGACAGAGCCTCCTCCTCGGCCACTGCTCCTCCTCCCCTCCCTCCCCTCCCCTCCCTCTGCCCTGGTTGCGCGCTGGGGGATCCGACGACGTCACAGAGCACACACACACACACACACACACACACACACACACACACACACACACACACACACACACACACACACACACACACACACTTATAGACACACATACAGGCAGGCTTACATATACACACGCCCTCTCTCTCACTCTCTCCCTCTCCCTCTCTCTCTCTCTGCTGTGCTGCTATTCTGGGAAGTGGCGTTTGGAATAACCCCCGTGTGCTTACGAGTGTGTGTGCGTGAGTATGTGTCTCCTGATTTCACCCTGACACACACACTCACACTGACAACACAGTCAGGCGCACACATTAGCTGTCTGTCCGCCTGCAGCAGCGGAGCTCCGGCAGCAGAAATCCGGTCGGAAAGGATTCCTTCCATTTTTACGCGCAACTTTTCCTTCGCCGCGTCGCACCGTTTCCTCCGCTCTGCCTCGACTGCTGTGGATTTCTAACAACCTCCATCTGCCTCTGGGCTGCTCCTCACCGACAATCAGCGAGGTGTCAAGCCTTCCGGAGCCGGATGTGTGTCCTGTCAGCGAGGCTGCTTGTTGTCATTAAGCTCGGAGACGGAGGCGCGCCGCCGCCGCCGGAGCGCAGACTGAAGGTAAGATCCGCGGAGGAGAAACGAAGCTTTAGCGGACACAGTCTATCACATTTCTCCGTGACAGTGGGCTTTTCTGCACCCTGACTGATATTTTGGACTGTTTTCGTGGCTCCTGGTCTTTTGTTTAGCTTATAAGGGCACGGCTATGCAGGGGGAATACCCCGGGCATGCATTGCATTGCATGCAGATTACCCCTGTTGCGTAATATCCTGAGGAATTTGCAGTAGCCTGCACGGCCAGGCTAGAAGGCCGGGGAGAGAGGGGATATACAGGGAGAAAGGAGAGGGTGGGGGACAGTCGGAGGATATGAAGCGGTGAAAGTGGAGGCTCGGGTGTGTGTGATGGAGAGATTTTGAGTCTGGAAGGTCGATTTTCTGCATTTCCGCGCTTTGAGGTAACAAACAATCCTCGTGTTCCTCAGTGGAGGAGTGTTTGGTTAAAGTTTCTCTGCTTTAAAATCGCAGAGTCACTCCTATTGTCAACATCAGGGGTTCACTGAAGGTTCAAATGGGACTTAAAGCTGTGACCTTAGCGAGCACACGGCAGTAGCCTATTTCCGTGTTGCCGCATCAGAAATGACATTCCTGAGGCGTTTCAACGTTTCTCAACTTCCTGGTTCAGGAGAGAGTTCTCCAGAAATGAAACAGTGCAGAGACGAAGAGCTCTTCTCTAGAAAGGAGCTGATTTATCTCCCTGCTCATCGTTTCTTTCCTCTGTTTGTGTGTCTGTATGAGCGAAAGAGAGGGAGAGAGTGAGAGAGGTGGTGGGTGGTGCGCTGGCTGGTTCCGGGAATGTTCCATGACGTGTTGCCGTCTAGAGAGGGGCCCCAGCAAGGGGGACTCCGAGAGCTGTCGCGGCCCTGCTGCTGCTGCTCCAGCCCTCTGTAACAGACCTGCTGCTCCATCTCTGCTGCTCTATCTCCCTGTAACAGACCTGCTGCTTGTAAATATCTCCATCTTTCTTTTCCACAGAGCAGATTTAAAACCTCTTCATGTAATCCTCTGATCGGCTGTTCACTCCTGCTGCAGAAACATGCTCTCTTTCCCCCCCTCTCCCTCGCTCTTTCTTTTCCTTTTCTCTCTTTCTCTCTCTTCTTTTTATCCAATGCCTTACCTCCTCCACAAAGAGGTCAGAGGTTAAATGTCAGGGTCAAACATGACTTTAGGTTGAGGATGCCATTGCTGGTGTGAGGGACTGAACAGTTGATGATGAACACTCTGTTAAGGAAATATTTCTTTACTGTGGTCAAAGTTTTCAGCTTAAGGTGTTTGCATATTAACCCTAGAACACTATCGCTAAAATTAATAACACCATCACTATCGCCAGGTGATTTTTACCCGAAATAATAAACCCAAGAAAAAGTACTTGTCATTAAAATAGGACAATACATGACAAATTACCGGTGCCGACGCGAATATAGAACGCAGAATTACGAAATATTCTGCGTATTTTGACGCGTCTGACTATATACATCAAGCCTGATGCGATTTTGCGACTTTCCAGGGGGGAAAAAAGATGCATCCCAGGGAAGACTTTTGCCGGGGAAAGTCTCGCCTCCTTCGCCTCTGATTGGCATCACACGCTCAAGCCAAACGGTCAGCACTTATAGCCAATCAGAAGCGATAATATAAGCACATGAAACTATGGTAACAACCGTTAGCATATGTTAGCGCTGATGAAAGTTAAAACAAAGACGTTAAGCAAACTGATTAAGCACACAAACCACAAGTTGTCCTTCAGGTCGTTATCTTTGTAATGTTTGTGTCTTTTATCAAAAAGCACTCTGTTCTCCGACACGTAAACAATTAGCCGATTGGCCCTATTGAATATACCAGTGAATCTGAAAACACGCAATCCGGTTGGTCAAAAGTGGACACACAGTATGCGAAACTTTAAAAATCGACCATGATCCAGAAAAATAAATGCCGCAATATCGCAGGACGGGAAAACATCGCTGATGTGAGCGCTTGTATTGACAGAATATGGGTTCGAAAAAAATAATGATGTCCGAAATAATTGTACGACGAAAACAGTCCCGGTGTTAAAGGACCTTAACTGTGCAATGTTCAAAGGCAGGGGAAAAAAGTGCCAAGAGTGGACTGTATAAAAATGCAACAAAATAACTGATATTAGGCATTCATGAACAAAAAATACCTAAAATAAAAAAATATATATAAACCGTAAACTTAGTTTCTTTTCCACCCATTCCTGAAGCATGTGAGTCTTCCCTGGTAAAGACTCAGGGTCCTTGGCACAATAACAGCTGCAGGAGAGAGAACCAAAATATGGCAGATTTTGAGTGAGTAAACATGACCAGCTGACTAAAATATTTCTTATCACCATATGAATTCCCTTGAAAATCACGACTTTGTGATAGTTATTCATAATTACTGTGCTAAATAAAGACAGCATGTAAACTCCAGGACCACTCTTACTAAAAAAAAAAGGCAGGTTGTGGATCAGGGAAAAATATGCCTTCAAAGATGTCAAAGGCAATGCTGAAGCTACACAGGGACCCATGATACTCAGACAAATGCAACATAATGACAACCACACAATAGTGTTCTAGGGTTAACATGATGATGTTGGTGTTTTCGTGCTCCTCTGAATGGAAACAGAGCAGCCGAGTGACAGGGTGCCACTGGAGCACCGTGAGGTGTCATCTACTCTGCTCTGCTCTCTGTCTTCATCTTAGCATCTTCTGTTTTTTCATTTTGCTCTGTTTCTGTCGTTTCTTCGCTCTTATTGAAACATGGTGAAATCAGCCGAGTGTCTCTCCTACTAAATGCAAAGAGAGGAGAGAAGATGGTTTGCTCCGTGCTCTGATCCACACTGGTGTCTTGCAGTTTGTTGTGGCCTTTTCAGACCCGGTCTTAGTGTTTCATTATATTTAAAGTTCTTTTAGCGTTCCTGCTAAAAAAAACAAACCCTGCTGTCTTTCAGTTAACGCCGTCTTCTTATGTCAGTGAATGAAATAAAATAAATCACCATACGTGTATTTGAGGATGTGATGCACGCACAGAAAGCACATAGCAGGTTTAATGGTTCAGACTGGCCGTTCAGCCTCAGCATGTTTATTCAGACGGAGCAGCATTCGATTCCCTCTAGCTTTTTAACATGTTTCTACTCTGAATCTCGGTCTCCATGTTAACACAGCTAATGTGACAGTGTGCTGCCCAGCTGCTGCCAACAGGACTGTTTGCTCCTGTCTGCTGCTAAATGTGTCACAGGAAGCTCGAACAGAGGACGCATTAACAAAAAGGAGCTGTAGATCAGACATGAAGACACGCAGGAAATAAATAAACCAGCTAAATATTTATTATAGATCAGAACAAAGACCATCACGTGTGTGTGTTTTTGGCAGATTTTCACAAACATTCTGTGTTGGCAGAGAAAGCAGCTATTTTTAACCTCAGACTGACACTATAAAGGAGGTATTTTTAGACACTGAGCAGAGACAGCATTAAAGGAGAATAAGAGCAGGATGAGAAAAGAGAGAGAAAGAGAGTCCTGATGGATCTGTGTCTGCAGTTAGAGAAGCTGCAAAAGAACAAGAACACTAACTTCTCCTCCATGTGTCTGTGCAGTCTGAGAGTTGAAGATCCTGCAGCTACACAAACCAGTGCAGGCAGACACACAAACACACACTCCCACACAAACAAACACACACACACTGAGCACGGCTGTGTGTGCACGTGCCTATGGTGAGTGTCTCTGTGAGTGTGCGCGAGGAAAAGACCGGCCTACGTACCATCTGTGCATCGCTACCTCAGATGGCCATCAGGGTGTAGTGTGTAGAAGCGAGTGTGCGTGCAAACACAAATGCAAACACACACACACACTGAGCAGGCTGGAGAGGCGTATGGAGAACATGCATGAGGTGTGAGCTGATTTCTGCAGTAAATATTCAATTAATTTATTACTCAGGCCCTGTGGGAACACTGTGTGTGTGTCTCTGTGTGTGTCTGTCTGTGTGTGTCTGTGTGTGAGGAACTCTTCCTAAAATCTGACCCTGAACCTCTGGATAGCAGCGAGCTGAAACAGCTCCTGCGGTTCTCC